TAATATAATGGTTCCGATCCTCTGATTGACGTTTTCACACCAACTCAGTATTTTAAATTTAGCCTCTTCGGTCGAGTTATTATTACTAGGTACATATGTATATCTCATTTGAAGATGTTTTTAATATAATTTTAGCAGACGCAAACCAAACCAAATACTAAATTTGACTGTAATTTAGCACGATTTCATCAAATAATGGATGTTTAATTATTTCTCAACATTTTGCAGCACCGAAGGAATTTCCCGGGCTTTGATTTTTGCAAGTTGCAAAATTATGAAATGTTCGGTTACACCCGAATTTAGCCCTTCTTTACTTGTTTATTTTAATTTTTCACAGATTTTTTTAATTGAAATTAAAATTCGAAGCCTGTTTGGTTAATGTTGGCGATGATGTGTCGGCTTTAGGGCAGATTTTGTTGTATTGGTTTATGACGGTGGAAATGCAATTCTGGCAAAATAGGAATAACCCATTGGCTCGCAGAACAACGATAAAGCTTCGGTAGGAAAATAGATATCAAATGCAAATACCGGACCTCCTGTGCCACTCGGCACTTATTGATTAGAACTGCAGCGACGAACACATGAAAAGCTTTGCGAATAGTGTGCTCGCGTGTGCCTGTCAAAATTGAACATTTGCTATATTCCTTTTTGGCGCTTTTTAAATGCTTCGTCTCATTAAAATCATTTGCTTGTTTTTTCGGTTTTGCTTGTATTTTCACTTTTTGGAATTTTCCGTTTGCAACATTTGGGTAGATTTTTTTTTTCATATAGTATTGTATTGGTATTGATCAAACAAATGTGACCAGAATAGCTTTGAGCCTCATGAACGGCATGCAATCATTGTCCGCACACGAACTGTATTATTTTATATATATAAATAGGATTCATAGGCATTGAAGTCGGTTATGACACTCTACAGTGGAGTATACCACATATTAATCGGGTTTATCTATAAAAATTATATATGTAAATTACCAGTAATAATATTTTCTTTCTCAAATATTGCTTTTGATATATTTCGGTTGAATGTTTATTTATATAATAAATTTTTGCTGTTCCACTCCGAATTCTCAAATTACATACATTTATGTAAAACGTTAGAGTCGAATTAATATATCGAATTTATATATTTTATCCGATTTGGATCATATTCCTATCGAAGAGTGTAATCAACCTTCAGAAAGAAGTATGGACGCCATTGGCCATGATTTACTGTAGATCCACTCATTTCGCTAACATAAGATCATTCTAGTATGACTTTTATTTTACCATTTGGCCTACGGAGAAGCCAACATAATAAAAGATATTTACAAAATAATAAATCGTATCAGAATTTTTCATTTATCGCCGCGGGTGCAAGTGGTTTACAACACCAAAGCAGTGTAAAGTATACCATTCTCACAGATACCTCACTCGATAGTCTTATAAAATTGGCGATAATTTTTGCTAATATTACCTGTTTTCATTCCCCAAGCATTGGAGAGTAGTGAATCAAACAAACTGTACCAGTTGTTCACACATACGGGCTGCACTTGTGGTTGCAGCCCTTTGCTCACATGTCTTCCGACCCATGTGCAATAATGTCATGATTCTTTCTTAGCGGAGAAATTCTTTTTTCGCGCTAAAAAACGTAGCAGTAACCCTTTATTTTTATTTCTATAAATTACCATAATTAAGTATTAAGTTTTAAAAGTACAATACAAAAGAAAGTTCTATTTTTATTTGTCATCTCAATCATTAACCATAGTAAAACTGATCTTAAATATTCAAATCAAAACTTGGTAGCATTGAAAATAGCGGCTATACCACTTTAATGAGGTATCAGCATACTCTCTCTCTTGTGCGAATTCAACTCGATACATTTTTGTTACTTTTAAATGTTATTTATGGTTATTTATAACCAGAGTTTCGAAACGAGCAGAGAAATAGCTAACCGAAGACAGCTACTATCAATCAAAGCATTTCTTTGCCAAGAAAATAATTCAGCTTTTCAAATTTGTTGTGCTATCAAATGTCGTGACTGGTTAAATTTTTATCAAATCAGTACAACGAGATAAAATGAGCAATTAATGGAGACTTTTCGATTTTTCTATTTCTACCAAAGGTCTGTAGAAGCACCATTGGTATTTGATTTTCGATAACTATTACCTGCAATCTTACCTTATAATAACAAAAATAAGTTTAAGCCTAATTCGCTGGGTTTGGGTTGACTTCCCTGAACAAATTTTTTATTCATGTATGCACTTTCGAAACGCAATGCCGCTAGTACCGGTAACAAATTAGTTAAATTTTCTCCCTAACACAGCAACATGATTTATCTTTTGTTAAAAATGAAGTAGAAAGTTCGATTGTGCAAATTGCGGAGCGTTGTCAAGCAGTCAATCAAATTTACTGCCGGCAGCAGCAAATTGAAAGTCATTGCTTACGCCCTATTGGAATCAAATGAAGAGCTGTTACACACATACAGACATACATAGTTATAAACGATAAATGCATTATTTGGGAATTGGAAATAACGCTCATAAATATATATTATATTATACCTCTGTCAACATTGCGACTGCAATACATAGAGCGGTAAAAATTTACGATATCCGATGCAAGGATATACGCACGCATACACAAATCTTGTACATGTGTATACAGATGTGCATACATATAACAAATATATATATAGGGCGACAAATTTGTGTGAATATCGAAATGTTTTCCAGAATTCAATTATTGACGCCAGCTTGCGCTAAAAATATATACACAATGCATTTGTGCAAAAAATGCATAACGGTATTTCAATATACGTCACCTTGCCTAGGTAAAAGCTCATTGTATACATATGTATGTACTTGTATGTTATAGTTGTGGAGACATATTTACATTTGCCGATATGAATATACAAATGCAATTATCTGCTTGCATCTGCTGTCGATCTGTCGACTTCAACAAAGCATTTTTATACAAAAACAGCGGAAGAAATTCTAATTTATCCGCCAATTTTACTTATTTTAGTGCCAGCAACATTAATCATTGGTAATGGATTTTTTATAACAAAGTAAGTTTAAGTGAAAAACTTTGATAGATTACAAACGCAATATGCGAATGATTGTGGGTAAAAAACATATACTGGAATATATTTGAAAGTACAGAAATCCCGTTCACACAGGTGTTATTGTGTTATTCAACTAAGAAATTTTAAATTAATTCGATAATAATTCTAGATCAGTATGTTTTAGAATAAATTGCATAAAGTGCGGCATCAAGGCCTTTTTACAATAATTAGCTCATCTCTTTAGACATTATATATTAAGAAGAGAAGACGAAACATGCAAGTGGCTCTGAACACCATAAATATTATAATTATTAATGATTTAATACAGAGTTGGGTTTATATATACTTAACGTTTAAAACAAACTTTTAAGAACACTTCCAACTATTTAATACTACTACTTAGGTCTAAAATATAATTCAGAGTAAAGCTCCAACAGTAACAATACCTAATAAATGTTCTTTTTTAGATTATTTAGCCTACCTATTTTGAAAAAGCAACCGTCTTATAATCAACATGCTTACTTATTAAGGTACAACTTTCGTTGTTGATTTACGTGAGTACCTGCCAGCGACGGCCTTACCTCACGGTGCTCCAAAACACAGCGTATCAATAAGCGCCCCAAACAATACGAGCTATTTGCAAGTATTTATCTGGATACCAGTGGCAGTGTGTCTGGGTCCACACTACCATCTTGGTATGATTCGAGGCCGGCCTAAAACCTCTTCCGTTTTCGCGTACGGAACCCAGTTGCTTTTTGCAACTTTATTTTAGAACTGAAAAAACAGTTGGGCTGAATTTTCAGTTCTTTCTGCATTTAGGTTTCAACCACAGCCCCAAAGGGGCCATAACCCAATGAGCAGATTTGACCGAAATCCAAGGGCTTTCTGCTCCCCGTGGTACCAGAAAGTCTCCGGTAAGACTGTGTAGCCGAAACTACTGCCAGTTGAGCAACCCATTACTCAATGACTGGTGACATTTGTCGCTTGAACTTCAAATGTCTTTTTTTTTGCTTTTTCATTCAAAGTCTATAACATCAGTTCAAGCTGAGTATTATAGCACTATTTCTGATATACTATGCTGATATTACTGAGCAAGGTACATAATAACAGACATAGTGCATTTGGCTTTTAGTCGTCTTTTACGACAGGCATGCCTTACCGTGGGTAAATTCTTACCCCTACCCGCAGGGGGATTATTAAGGTACAATATATATACATATGTACAAGTATTTATATGGAGATTTGGGGTGCATGACAAAATCTCGTTTATTTAATATTATATAATACAATAGCCGTCAGCCGTCTTCGATTCGTCATTTCTAGATCAGTTTTACTATGGTGAATGGTTCAAATGACAAATAAAAATACAACTTTTTTTTTATTGTATTTTTAAAACTTAATACTGAATTGTGGTAATATAAAAAACAAAAATAAAGGGTTACTACTACGTTTTTAAATGCGAAAAAGTAATTCATCCACAAAAAGCATCATGGCATTATTGCACATGCCTCGGAAGACATGTTACCGCGGTGTTGCACCACAAGTAGGTTCGTTTGATCAACTAGTATAGTTTGTTCCATTCGTTACTCCCCAACGCTTGGCCAATGGACAGCTAATATCTTTAATGAAATATATGTTAAGTAGAGATATAACAAAACTTTCTTTTTTTATTACAATAATTTTGATGATATTGTGTATATATTATAATGAGATACTAAATGAGCGACTAGCCTCGATGTAGCTTAGCGATCGAATGACTGGGCGTGCTTTTACTGTTCATATGTGTGTTTATTAGATCTAATGTCACATTTGATTACGATACTTGTATTTCAATTCTTGTTGTTTAACGTCCGTCTATCGATCCCACATTTATATTATGGTATAAGTTTAATATATTTTATGATATTTTAAGTTTTCTATCTCTTTATTCGTATAAAACTATTTTTGTACTTACCGGTCCATATTGCTCGAAGTAGCTTTTGACATCCTCCAATGTTGTGGGCGCGGAAAGCCCACCCACAAAAATTTTCTTCGTTCGCGTCACCATCTGTTGAAAGGGATGAAAAAGAGAAGTTTGTGAATATATTTTAATTGTAATGGGCCATCAAAAAAAAAAATAGTATAATAATTTTGAATGTAATGTCGTTTAAGAGTTACAAAAATAAAGATCTTAGTGAAGCCGGAAAATGCGACACTTCGTCTTTGGGTTAGAAAAAACTAAAAGTGTTGTCATAGTAAGATGTTAATACCCTCAGAAAGTTATATACATATATAAGTATTATTACATACAATGTGGACCATATATTTCATGTAATTACATTTGTTAATTTAAGAATTTTTTTCATCGCTTTCTGAACGATAAGAAAATTTTAATATTTTTTCGACCCATTCCAAAAATTTAGGGGGGTCTATTTATATACGGAACTGCTTTTAGAGACACGCACACTTAAATCACAAAACAAGTTTCTGACTTAACGGGTATGTAAATAAGCAAATTTCTGTGTTTGGAGTACGCAATCCTTAGCGTGCCTTATATTCAGAAATAGTACCATCCGTTTGAGTTTGCACGTATTATTAATATATATTTTTTTTAAACTGAAGATAGAGTAAAGCTAGCGTCAGAGGTAAGCAATACGTTTAGCGACTTTTTGTTCCTCAATCAAATCAATAGTAATCGTCTAGATGCTAAATATTTCCACATATGTCTTGAGGTTTAACTCCGTAAGCCGACCGATAAATCACTTACGACTCATCAGTCGAAAATCAAATGTACATATGAGCGTTAATGAGAGATAAGAATGAATATGCAGCAAAGAGTGATTTGAAATTGGTAATATGGTCCACGTAACATGGATTTAAATTAGACATCCAAATTACATTTTAAACTAATGCTAAGTATTGGAAATTTTAAAAAATTGTATATCTCCTTTGATATATAATTGTTATAACTCGAAAAACACCTTATGAGTCAAAAATATTGCCGTCGAAGAACGAAAATTTTAATTTCTTTTTAAGAATACCAAATAAGACTTCTAGGCTAAGTTATTTGACTCAGAGAAGCCTTAAGCTCGAAAAATAAGACAGTCGTTAGTAAAATGTTCCAATCTGGTATACACGTATTTAAAATATAGTATATATGGTACATAGCACATGTTCCCATACAGTTATGTTGCATATCGCCTTTAGTTGTACAAAAATCTAACACCCTGGGTGCAACATGTGGCGTTAGGGTAGAAAAATCTTTTTATTAAAACTGCCTTACTCGAGCCCATTGCGTCGGCCTTTACAATTTTAAATCTACCCACAAATCCCATTGCAATGGAAATTTTCGCCTTTACGTACAATTTTGGAGTATTATGTTAGTCTGTTGAGTTGTGTGAAGTGTGAAAAGTCAGAAGCAGTAACAAAATGATCAGAGCAAACTTTCTACAGTTTTAGGGAACAAGCACTCGTCCATAGGCACTTTATCACCCGGCACTCAATGCGCTCCAAGGCGACACACCAACATACCCATTCTATGCGGTACTACTGAGGGCGTATTTTGCGCTGCTGAAGTGCGCCTTGTGCAATGCCAGCAATAAAATTCATGCAATGTCGTAAAATTAAAACACTTCAGTATCTACCTAACGAACGAGCATCGGCAGCCTCTGTGTTCCGCATACACGAAGGGTTGCATTGAAAGGGCTTGTTGTACCGGCATAGATAGATGCTAGAACAGCAGAATCGGTGGCAAAAGCACCAATAACAATGTCAGCAACACCATTTGCAGTAACTTCTCTGCAAATAGTCGGCAAAGGATGCACATATATGTGCCGTACATACAGAATGGCCCATTTCCACGGTCCTGAGTAGACAGTGTCAAGTGCAATTGTTGCTGCACGCGGTAGGAGTCTCCAAAAGAGACTCGCGTTTGTGTGAGTTGGTCGAACACAGCTTGCCGCTGGTGTACGAGGCGTTTCTGTTGTGTTTACTGTACTTTTGGCACTGACACCGCCCGGTCCCAAGTACAGTTGAGGGTGGCATAGCTAGTGCTGACAGTCATGCTACGGGTATATGTAGGTTTTGCCATAAAACGAAGGCCGCTGTCTGGCTGTTTAGCGAAGATTCCCGTCCGTTCCATTTATATACGGCTTTACTCGGTGGTATGGCTTGCTGGCTCTTATTGAAATTGCAGCGTTGTTAAAAAGCGATTTGGTCCAACGGGGACAACGTACTTGCACGCCGTTGCACCAAATAGCAAGAACACAAACAACATCAATCGGATGGCAAGCTGGCGTACCATCATTGTGCAAGTGGCAGCGATGCGCTATCATAACTCATTTCCTCCTTACTGCAGCGCTTACGTCTCTTTCTGGTGTCATACATAAATATTGCTGCTCCCACGAACAGATTGGTTTGGCGAATGTTGCTGTTTGCGCTGTTCTGGCGGAAAATGCGACGTGGCAGCTTGAAAGTAAGTTTCGGGGCGAGGTAACAGTGCATGCAGCAGCACATTCCTTGTTGGGGGCAGACGCGTCGCGGCACTATGTAGCATTTGAAGATGAATGAGCGCATCGTCCGTTATCTTCTTAATTTCCGAGCGCACAGTCAGCCGGCCGCACCGCTGGGCATCCAAGAAGGTATACTCAATAAGAATGCAACAACAAATAAAAGGATGCAACACACACATAATTCAATTCAACGTAACTGTGTTTCGTTGCACTGAAATCCCTGGACCCCTCTCTTTAACTGCTACTATTTAGGACTTGAGTGATTGCACCGCCCATTTGGCGTTTCACATTTCGTCAGAATTTTGTGGAAAATTTATATTGGGTACAAATTTTAAATATCTCCGAAATCATACTTTGAGAATTTTAACCGTTTTGTAGCCACTTTTTCTAATATGCTCATTATCGGCGTTTATATAAAAGGTAATAAAGTTGCTGTTATCAAAGGATTCATAAATCGTTATTCAAATATATGTTTATGTATACTTTTTGGTGATGCTAGTTGCTTGAGGCATCATTAGTCATAATTTAGTTCTGCAATACTATTGGCTATTACATGTCTTTTCATAAGAAGAACCATTAGGTTTCTATAAAGTGTTCGTGAACGTAAGTGTCCGGAGGTAAGTCAGGATCAATTCGATTATGACTTAACCATTTATTCATACGATAACTGCAAATGATGCTCAGTTTATACTTACAAGTATAGTTGCGGTCCATCCACATCCATAGTTAAATCACGAATTGTTTATAGCAAGCATTTTCATGTTAAAATTAAGACTCTCTAAACCTTGTATGGGTTCTACCAGTTGTGAGTACGCGATATGCAATACTTCACAAAAGGAAACAGAACAGAAAACATACTCGTGATTGGGATCTTGTAATTTGAGATTCGAATCGCCACAATTATGTGAGTGTGACTGGTAACATCAATCTTGCGGCTAATTTTTTATTCCAAATGATTTTGTGAAGGATGAGCGTATATTACCTATGGTATATTTATATATAATGCCTATAGACGAATAGGAAACAAAAAAACAAGAAATAAATATCATAATATTAAGAAAGTTACTGTGGTTTGTATGAAGGACAAAACCGTACGGAAAATACATTAACCCTTTCAATTGGAAACGAAAGTACACATAGCCTCTATATCTATCCCAGCTTCGCGCTGTCGATAATGTATATTCTTACTAATTCTTTCTCTCGTCAAAGTCCAGCGCAGATGAGCAAGAAAAGGACACGTAAAAATCCACACAAGCTTAATTGTAAGGAAGCATTGAGTGCCGAAGAAAAGCAAATGCGTGAATTGACGGTGTGAAGCAACAAATGAAGTTCTAATATACAATATCAAAAAGAGAGTTCAATCGGGTGCATTGGAGTGAGAAGATATACAGACCTTTATAAAGAATTCAGCAAATAAATCATTCAATAATGCTCCACCAATGGCAACTACTTTCGAAGCTGCAGCGAATGAATGAATAGCGCTACTCAAGCTCAGGCGCTAGCATGTCTTCTTCACAAACCCTTCACTCATTCATATGTAAATATGATTTATTGAATTCCTTTTATACCTGCTACGTTTACCCTAACCTTACAAACTAAAAAATACGTACTACCGTTGAATCCTTTCGCTACATTCCATATTTTTCTCCAAGTACACACTCCCGTATACATAAGCGAGCATATATTCAATCCATTTTCGCCGGATAGCCCGATTGAATTGTATGCTAATAGCATCGAAAGCGCAACTGTAAGCAGGCTCAACGGCAGGCTAGCCCAAATATTATGTATGCAAACATACTTACACACTTACGTAATTGTCGCCTTTTGATTAGTTGCAGTAACAAAAATACATATAAAATATCACTTCGGAATCCGGGTCGTGCATATATCCAATTCGTATTCGATAACGTCTGCCACAGTACCAGTAAATGAATTTTATATCCTTTCTAAAAATGAGCGTGAGTTTTGAGAACAGCGATTTAAATGCTTAGAATTCAAGAATTACGTGGGCTCCAAATAGAGTGTGTGCTTAGTGACCTAGTTGCTTCACAGTCATGCTTTATATATTACGATGTGGCATCAAATATAAATCAAGTAATTCTGATTCGTAGAGAAACCTGACTTTAGTTCCTTAATTGCATTTAAACCTATTACACCCCATCTCGATTTGAGCACATAACCCTTTAATACATCGACTACATTGACTTTACACTAAAATCATTTCCTAACTCCCAGTATTCTGAGCTTACTCTGAGCAGATGCACGCACATAGCTTCAATGAAAACCCGATTTTAAGGTGAGGCATTTAACTAAACTGCCAGTCTGCAGACTCTCATTGCACGTGCCGTTATACGTGCCAGCAGAGCCGTGTGGCGCTCAGCATGAGCGACCGGTCAGATTGGGTCCACAAATCAGAACCGTTTGTTTACCAAATACATACACACACACATTCAAACAACGGCACATACATACGAGTGAGTGATAAAGCGAGTGAGGCGAGAGGCAGTGAGTGTGAGGCTTAAAATCCCGCCTCTTCCGAGCCGTTGTGCTCGGTCTA